TTAAGTTTTTTTACATGATTTGATTGCACATTGTTTGCACATGAATGCATTTTTTTTATTTCTGTTTGTACAACTCTAGTAAAAAAGTTATTCAAAAAGAACTTTGGGGGGAGGGCGCAACATCACATTAGCCCACCAATTTTTACAAAAGTTGTTTTCAATTACCCTAATTGATAGATTTTTATTTGCACATTTCAAAACGGTTTGAATTTTCGTTTGTACATTAAAAAAAAAGAGTTATTTAAAAAAAAGGAACTTTTTGGAAAACTAACTTCATATTAGGGGTGTGCAAACAAAAACAGAAAAGTGCATTCATATGCAAACAATGTGCAATAAAAACAACTTAATGATTTCTAATATCGGGGGGCTAACTTCATTCGTCTGTTTGATTATTCATAAACTAGGAATGTGTTTTCATTGCTAAACGACTCTTATAGCTCTTTAATTCTCAATTAAATAATTCAAAATAACTTAATATAATGATTGGCCATGAAAGTCTCTACAGAGAAATTTCAAGGTTGTTTCGCAGCTGCTTGGAATGTTTTGGTTAATTCATGAATGACGATCACTATGTCTTTTGGACATTGGTACAACAATCCCGACAACAGTTGGAAAGTCCGATAACGGTAGCTGATGATGATGCGGAATAATTTCCTCTTCGCATTAGAAGAAAAAGATTCTCCACCGCGAAAAATGGACTGACGAAAGGCGCGCGCGCGAACGCATTTCGTCGTCTCCGGAGTCTATTTTCGTCCGACAATGATAGTTCGTTGTCCTTAACATGAGACATTCTCTTTCGGGTGACTGATTTAAAAACAACTCAATCTATAGATCTATACCAAATAACGGATGAAGCCTGTTTTAAAACTATAATTTTTTCTTCTCTTTAAGGATCAATCGAAACAAAGTTGCCTTTAAGATATAAGTTGCCTTGAAATATATACATATATTAAATTCTCTCTCTTATATTATATTTTATCTTATCATTTTCTTCTTTCCGAGTTATGAATTGTTTTTACACAAAATTGTCTGAGCAATCTATCGTATAACGCTAAATATAATTTTTGTGTATTTTTTCTCTTCTTCCCCCTCTTTTAAATAGTTACAAATAGTATATATAAACTTGAAAAATTTAAGCCAAAAGTAAAATTAAAAAAAAAATATATATATATATATTTAAATTATGGAGATAGAGAAAAAAAGTAAAGAAGAAACAAAATGTATAAATAATGGATAATAACGCTGCAACGATTGTTCTGATTCTTTTTATTGATTACGTTCTCAATATTATCACGATATTATCGAGCTGTAGTAATCGCGCATAGGTGAATGATCTGATAGATTAATGATCTTTCTCAAGAGACAAAGCGCTTCTTGTATTACAATATCCTCATCGTTATCGCGAACACATAAATCACATAAAAAAAAGAATCGCGCGTCTTGTTCCAAAAATCATTATTTTCTAATCTTTGAGACTGCAAAATCTTTGTATATTTAATCTATGTAATTTAATCATGTTGCGAAAAATTTTTTTACAATATATTTTTGCGAGTCAAAACAATTTTTGGAAAAACGGACGAGATTTCAGATTGAGAAAAGAAAAAGTTTTCAGTGTTTATATATGTATATATAACTAGCACTTAGCGCTAAATGAGTAGCTGTTTGATTTTTTTATTTCCGATTAATCAAGTTTTAGCGAATTTATGCTCGCTAAACGAATCTCACACAACATCGTCAAGTTAATTGATCGCTCGACTACTTTTTATAAAATCGGTATTTGAGAGCGCAATGTTCCACGTTATTATATAACGATATAGCGGAAATTAACAATTTATCGAGCGATTATTTTGAGTACCGATAAACGAAGCGAAAAATATAATAAATCGCGCCGCGAGAGGCAGTATCCAATTTTCCGGCAGGTTTCTCGGATAATGACGAATAATCATTTCGGCATCGATCATTTTCTAAATCGTTGCGATTGTATATCCCGCGTCGTTTGTAATCGTTATCGATCGGATCCATGCACTTACCGTGTCTTCGGATACGATTATAGTAATAAATCGCTCGCGTACACAACAATGTCCGAAGTCTCCGGCGCGAAATTGCCTGAGCGAGCGTAATTTTCTAATGCTCGAATGCTATAATCGTATAATTATCTCGCGGTAACTTTTTGTCACCGCTCTGGAATATCCGTGCTCAACTGTAATGCCGTAATTACTGCGTGTGAGGCAAGTCGGTCGAGGTCGAGCATGATAGGATTTTCACAGCATTCTCACGTAAATTACATTTGTCGTTAATTCAAATGTAACTTAATTGGCCGTGAGTTTACTTCTCTAATAAATTATATATATAAAATGCGATATAAAGAATTATAGATAAGAACAACAACGTATTAATATAATACTTATCATAAATATTGCTCATCATCATATATCATTCTTGAGATCATGCGGGAGATTAATTTGCCAATAGTTATTATCGCTGAATCATTTACGATGATTGCTATCATTGATACTATTCATTCATATTTCATTATCTCTCCCTCTCGTCAACGATAAAATCAGTCGGCTCGTATATCGCCTTGGACGTTGATACGAATATCGCTACGTTAAACGTTGTAAGATCAAACATTTATTCCGTTTTGCGTTTGAGATTGATAGTGTTCTTTGATATTGACGAATTTAACAGATTGTTAGATCGACATAATGTAAAAGAATGGGAAGGGGGAGGGAGGGACTATTTACGACTCGTGCTACTTCTCGTAATGCGACGTAGGCAAACTAAACCTTTCGAAATGGCGAACGTAAAATTTAAGTGGGACGTGTCTTACATGCTTGCAACAACAACTGCACATGCATTATTCAGCCGCGAGACAAATGTATACCGTGTCCGTTGCGTACGGTGCTTGACCGCAGTTGCACCTAGCGTTAATTGACTTTAGCGTTAAATTTATGACTAGACCGTAAATGATGCGTTGATATACCAACGAACGGCTCCCATTGCTGCTATTTCTCCATCATTTTGTTAGGCGGGTTAGTATGGGAAAGACTCCCGGGAAAGTGCTCCGAAACTGTACTAAAATATCCTCTCCTCTCTACGCGAGCGTAAAAACGACATAATCGATAGCCCGTTGAAAAAAGCCATCGAGGAGCCGGTTATAGCCCATTTTCCACGAAGCAAACATTGTATAACGATAGCGCGAAGAATAATTTGTTACTCGCGACGTTCTCTCTCTCTCTCTCTATTGACGAATTTAACAGATTGTTAGATCGACACAATGTAAAAGAATGGGAAGGGGGAGGGAGGGACTATTTACGACTCGTGCTACTTCTCGTAATGCGACGTAGGCAAACTAAACCTTTCGAAATGGCGAACGTAAAATTTAAGTGGGACGTGTCTTACATGCTTGCAACAACAACTGCACATGCATTATTCAGCCGCGAGACAAATGTATACCGTGTCCGTTGCGTACGGTGCTTGACCGCAGTTGCACCTAGCGTTAATTGACTTTAGCGTTAAATTTATGACTAGACCGTAAATGATGCGTTGATATACCAACGAACGGCTCCCATTGCTGCTATTTCTCCATCATTTTGTTAGGCGGGTTAGTATGGGAAAGACTCCCGGGAAAGTGCTCCGAAACTGTACTAAAATATCCTCTCCTCTCTACGCGAGCGTAAAAACGACATAATCGATAGCCCGTTGAAAAAAGCCATCGAGGAGCCGGTTATAGCCCATTTTCCACGAAGCAAACATTGTATAACGATAGCGCGAAGAATAATTTGTTATTCGCGACGTTCTCTCTCTCTCTCTCTCTCTCTTCTTTCTTTCTATATTGAAGCATTGTTTCATTTTATCGCGTGTCGAAATCGCGCGGGCATATATTTCGCTACTTTGATACAATTGCGAAAATCTTATCGCTGACATTGTGAAAATCTGACACCATAATTTCATGCCATTGCAGCTCGTAGGGAGTTGCAATTTTTGTATATCGATGGATCATCTCTATTTGAAGTCGTTTTATTTTCACGGAATTTACAGCCCGGTTTTACGATGTTTGTATTCTTTCCGATGCATCTTCGTCATTGTTATTGATTGTCCGACATCATTACTATCGATTAACCGTTTGCCGCAGCTGTCGCGTGTCTCTTAAAGTGGAAAATTATCGGTGAAAAGATGCTCGTAAAGCGCGCATTTTCTTTTAGTGCGAAAATAAAGGCGAATGTTTTATCTCATCTTTTACGAGCTCGTTTCGGCATCGGCTGACCTCGTTACCTACATTTTATCGAGGAACCGAACGAGAACGTGACAGTAAGGGGACGAGCAGGGAGTCGAAGCAGAATGAAATGAACAAACGAGCTCACGAAAAAAAGTAAATCGGGCACACAAATAACGGCATCGGCACTTTGTACATTCGACGAAGTAAGAGAATAAGATTAAAGTAGCAGAGATTTGTTGGTCTCTAATAAAGATCGAATTTCTCGCTTATATTGAGATGAAAATTAAATTGATTATAAAATAAATTAAACGTGTGATTATGCATATAGCAAAAGGAAAAATAAAGTCGGCAAAAAAAAAGACGAGTTTGATGACGAGAGACTATATTTTTATTAATAAAAATTTACTAATAAAAATGTGTATTTCTAAAATCCGACTTTATCTTTGTTTTGCATAATAATTGACTATTACATTTATATTCATTTTTTTCTGATTATTTTTCTAGACATCAAAGGTTTACATACTTCATTATAATGTAAATTACATATGTATATATATATATACACACAATATTATAAGGAGAAAAAAATCACATATATTAGATTTTTATATTAAAGTATCGAGTTTTTAATCAACATTTTGCGAATGAATTTATATTATGGCGATTATTTATTTAATAATTTTTAAAATTTAAATAAAGAAGAAAACACTGACTCACATATAAAACAATAAATATTTTTTTTTAATACAGCAAAGTAAGGCTTTCACGAAAAGTATGTAGGTCTGCTCTTCGAAAAGGAGGAGCATCAAAAGAGGGAGAGGACAAAAAGAATAAGAAAGAATACAAAGCGAAAAAGTATCGTCCCCACTTTTCCCCCCAGTAGCGAACCATCGTAAGCGGCAGTTCACTTGTCATGATGGGTCCCCATGTCTCCGATTATTCATTTAACGGGACTCGCACATCCATAACAGCCGGAGAATGATGATTTCTCCAGAAGACGGCGAGTTCGGAATTCGGCTTTTGTCTTCAGTCTTCTTCGGGTGCGCGCTTCGGATGGACTGCTTCGATGATTCTCTACGTCGACAAAAAAATAATCGTCGAGCTTTCTTGATAATTTCGGCAAAGTGCGAATATCATTCAGTGCCTCGTGTGGAAAAAAAATTGAAACTGTTCCGAATCGTAATCTTTTTCGATATCGAAGAAAACATAGACTAATCGTTTCCGATATAATTCGATTTGATTTGTCTCTTGAAGACGCGAGACTTGATTTGTTAACAATCCAATGTGTAATCATTTTCAATATTTAACAATCTCAATGCTTAATATGTTGTCATAATGCGACGATGATATAATTATTTGATTGCCGAATGACATTGTGCGTAAATATTATTATAAAATTATTCAGCATTTAGTTCGCGGTACTTAACATCTCGCGCGCCTCGTGACGAAATACGTTTTCACGTGTAACTGCGAAGGACGAGCTAAAACTTTTGTCACTTCGCGGTTCGTTGCATGATCTTCTCGTAAGTCTATGAGGGGGTCTCTTAGGTGTCAGTGACGCAAGGATCCCGCCTCTCACAACATTTAAATGAAACGTGCGCCGCAGCCACGTGGTATTTAGACCGACAGTGAACGTCAACGCGAGTAACTGCGCGAATATTATCTCCAGACGACGTCCGAACAGCCGACAAGAACTTGTCTCCATAAATTCTTTTGCTTCGCCAGTATAATCCTCTTCTTCAAATTTAATTCGATACAAACGCGCGCGCGATCGTAGTCATAAAATTTTAAAGACTCGTGTTAATCTCGAGCATAAGTGTACAATAACTGAAAGATAGATAGACAAGGACAGTATCGACTAAAAAATCACGAGGAGGCTGTATGACAGAGTTGTGAAAGATCGAGAATTGTGAATTATTATAGTCGAAGAGAGAGAGAGAAGAGTTTTAAGAGCGTAGGACGAGCGTACGCGAAGCGCAAGCAAGAAAAAACAGGGGTTTTGGAATTTAAATATTTATTATTTGAGGTTTTTTTGATGTGTGTATGCGTGCGTTGCAACGATAATCCGCATAAACCTTAAACCAGTCGACTTTGAAATCTCTGCCGGCACGCATCTTGCACGGCACATCCGTTTGCTCGCGAACGTGTTAGCTCATTAAACGATCCAACACGGGTTCCGTACTGTCTAACGTAAGTTGATGCTAGAGCTTCTTCGATTCGTTCAAGTGACAGGTTTTCTCGACAGAATGCACCTCGCGATTATATAAATGACGATTTAAATAAAAGTTGAATTAACTTAAATTAAGAACGGAATATTAATATTTATTTTATCTCGACGTTCGGGATATTTTCAAGTTTAATCAATTTTGATTTTAATACTTGTATCGCTTTCTTTGCAAATATTTTACAACTACGACACAATTCATGTCATATCATATCATAAAGAATGGTGACACGTGTATCATGTGGTTTCTTCTTTTCTCTCGGAAGGTGTTCCTAGAACATCGGGGCAAAGATGAGGTAGGACAACTAGTCGGTGCCAAAACCCATGGCGCAACACCCTTAGTCATGGCATGTCGGAACGGACATTACGATGTGGCAGAATATCTTATTGAAAAATGCGGGGCGGACGTGGAGCAGCCTGGGTCAGGTAAGATCACAGTCATCTTTTCATTAACGGCTTTGTTCTATCCGTCTACGGAAAATAATCTTCAAATCGAACTGCGTAAAAGTAATGTTTGGCAAAAAAATCTGTTTAAAAATTTTTATTTTCATTTATTTTTTAAAAAAGTACGATTAATTATTTTTTTATTTTTTTTTTTTTTGAGTATGTTAATAGCAAAGATTGTAATTATTACGATAAATACTTTGTATATTATACGCTAGTATAATCTATTGCACATACTGTATTACTGCACAATTCATTTTATTTACGATTATTACATTGTGTCATTATTCTTTTCGCAAGACGAGACACTAATTTAATTTTCCGCTTTGCTACTAATCGTAAAATGTATTTTTCAACATTTCTTTCCAAAAACAGTGGTCTTCGAAGGCGAGACGATCGAGGGTGCACCACCCCTGTGGTGCGCGGCGGCCGCTGGTCACTTGGCGCTAGTCAAACTGCTGGTGAGACGAGGCGCCAAAGTGAACTCGATCACGAAAACAAATTCTACACCTCTCCGCGCTGCATGTTTCGATGGACACTACGATATTGTCAAATTTCTAGTACAACATGGTGCAGGTAGGGAACACAAAATATGAATTCGTAAATTATGTATGTATTTTTCGTACTGAGAATATTCAGCTGCGTTCCTCAGAATTACTGCCAGCATGTTGTTTGGAGAGTAAATAAAAGCAAAACGCAAAGATTTCGTGATTTGGAAAAATATGAAAAGTTGGTGAAAATATATATTTACGGAATATTCCATAAAACATTCGATTACGCACGATTTTTTTCTATATAGAAAAGAACAGAATTACACTTTATATCGCCAAATATTTAAAACACTCATTTCGACTTTACAGATATCGAGATGGCAAATCGACACGGGCACACATGTCTGATGATCGCATGCTACCGGGGTCACGTTAAAATCACAAAGTTCCTACTCGCCTTGAAAGCGGACGCGAATCGCAAGTCCGTGAAGGGTAACACGGCACTGCACGACTGCGCCGAGAGCGGATCCCTGGAGATACTGAAGATACTCGTCGAGCACGGCGCTCAGATGGACGTGGACTCCTATGGGATGACGCCACTTCTCGCGGCAGCAGTAACAGGTTAAAGCAGAAAGTTCCACGCACCACTCGAAGGTTCCCTTAAAATAGTTTATTTTGCTCATTTGAAGCGATCTGTTCCGCGATGATTAAACATCTGGGAAAAAAGCGAGCGCTAATCGAAAACGTTTCTTCGTTTCCTTCTCTTAGGTCACACGCATATCGTCGAGTACCTCATAGGCATTCCGCAACTGTTCAGCAG